TATGCGTGAAATGCAACTAAGATACAATCCTAACATACACAGAATGCTATGAAAAAGAGGTGCCTCGAAATGCGTGCACGCGGGCACACAAACCGAGGGGATGATATGTGTCTCAAAGTACGTGCAGGGGGACACGCAAACCGAGGCGATGATATGTGTCTCGAAGTACGTGTACGAGGGCACGCAAACCGAGGCGATGATATGTGTCTCGAAATGCGTGCACGCGGGCACGCAAACTGAGGCGATGATATGCGTCTCGAAATGCGTACATGCGGGCACGCAAACCGAGGCGATGATATGCGTCTCGAAGTACGTGCACGCGGGCACGCAAACCGAGGCGATGATATGTGTCTCGAAGTACGTGCACGCGGGCACGCAAACTGAGGCGATGATATGTGTCTTGAAATGCGTGTACGCGGGCACGCAAACTGAGGCGATGATATGTGTCTCGAAATGCGTGCATGCGGGCACGCAAACTGAGGCGATGATATGTGTCTCGAAATGCGTGCACGCGGGCACGCAAAACGAGGCGATGATGAAATGTGATGAAATGACATGGAAATGACAAGTGGGCTTATACCAACATGAGTGAGCCTCAGCCACACTCACATAGGATGCCGGCGGATAAAAATGAAGTGCCTCGAAATGCGTGCACACGGGCACGCAAACTGAGGCAATGGCAAAATGCGATGAAATGACATGGAAATGACAAGTGGGCTTATACCAACATGAGTGAGCCTCAGCCACACTCACATAGGATGTCGGCGGAAGAAAATGAAGTGCCTCTAAATGCGTGCACACGGGCACGCAAACCGAGGCAATGGCAAAATGCGATGAAATGACATGGAAATGACAAGTGGGCTTATACCAACATGAGTGAGCCTCAGCCACACTCACATAGGATGCCGGCGGATGAAAATGAAGTGCCTCGAAATGCTGCACACGGGCACGCAAATCGAGGCAATGGCAAAATGCGATGAAATGACATGGAAATGACAAGTGGGCTTATACCAATATGAGTGAGCCTCAGCCACACTCACATAGGATGCCGGCGGATGAAAATGAAGTGCCTCGAAATACGTACACACGGGCACGCAAACCGAGGCAATGGCAAAATGCGATGAAATGACATGGAAATGACAAGTGGGCTTATACCAACATGAGTGAGCCTCAGCCACACTCACATAGGATGCCGGTGAATGAAAATGAAGTGCCTCGAAATGCGTGCACACGGGCACGCAAACCGAGGCAATGATGGAATATGATGAAATGACATGGAAATGACAAGTGGGCTTATACCAACATGAGTGAGCCTCAGCCACACTCACATAAGATGCCGGTGAATGAAAATGAAGTGCTTCGAAATGCGTGCACACGGGCACGCAAACCGAGGCAATGATGGAATATGATGAAATGTGGCAAAAATGATATGCAAGCATGCTAATGGAATTTCAGCAACAAAATATGGGGCAAAACAGCCCCGAAATGAAGCGAAATGACATGAAATGCAAGGAAATATCCCGAAATGCGATATTAGGCACCCGAAATGGCCTATAGCCATGCCAAACATGCACAACATGGACATGCAATGCAAAGACAGAAGCTAGAAAGTCCCAAAAAATGCACTTTCACAGTTATAAACATGGCCCAACAGAAAGCATAGGTATGGCAAAAATAGCATGCAAGAATAGGGGCCAAAAGAGGGGTAATGAAGCAAGTGATATAAGCAAAACCCAAACTGAAAAATTTCCTTCTACAACACTGAAGAGGGACCAAAAATATGAATATTTACAGTATATGGAAGCCCCAAAATCAGTATACAAACATGATAGAAATGTGATGCAAAATGAGGTTCAAAAGTGGCTATAACATGAGGTATGCAAAATATTCACCAAAAAGCCAAAGACCCTTAATAAAACATGTAGAATGGGCCAAAATAGGACTATTTCCAGAACTGTAAAATGGCCAAAAACAAAAGCATAATAGGCT